TGTTCTGTTTCGGGACCTATGGCGCATGAGCCAAGGCAATGAACCTTATATTTCCGATCTGCCCATAGGCGCGGGACGATCACAAATGCAAGCAAGGGGCATCAAGCTGGAGCCACTCCCACACGCTGTTTATTGCGTACCGTTCCAGTTCCAGTCGGCGCAGGAAGGCGATGGCGCAGCGCAATATCTTGCGCATCTCTTTGGGACACGAAGCTCTTGGCCCCTTCTGGAAAGGGCAAGGACGTCCTCATAGACACCCCTTTTGAGCATAAAGCTGCCATCCAAACTGTGCCGCAAGGCCTCCAGCTGCAACCGGTCCGAACCGGGGAAAAAATAGCAGAGACAGCCATCGATGACGAGCTCGATGATGTTGTCCGGGGCCCAGAGGTGGGGAAGCTGATTGCAGTGGTCCCCGCGCAGCAAGCGGCAGGTGCCAGCAATAGCATCACGGCATCGTCAGCCGAGACGCCCACGGGGAAAGGACATCCTGGCCCACAAGCGCCTGCTGGAGTCCGGCCCATCCCTGCCAAACGGATGGAACGCGAATCAGCGAAAAGTTCTGCCCATAGGGACGCGTCCAGGAGCCCATGTAGGACACTTTGCCACAATGCCCCCAAGGGTGCTGCGCCCGAGCCCACTAGTGGGGCCAAAACGCAAGCCTCGCCACCGGTGGCTTTTGGTAGTACCCCAACTCCGCCCCCGCCGCCGAAAAGTAAAGGGCCGCGCCGCTTTGTGCCGACTGGAGCCCGCCTGGGGAGCGAGGCATCTCTGCGTTAAAGCGAGGCCGTACATGGCGTTAAAGGACTCTTCCCATCTGACCACTCATGAGCAGCAGCTGCAGGCTTACCGTGCGTATGAAGAATTGCTCAGGAATTGCAGGGGACGCTCGCTGATCCGGAGCACCTCCTGCAGGTGGCAAATCAGCTGCTTTACCTGCCGGACACTTCCCTGCTTCATACCTGCAAATTTATGACCCAATTCTGCCCATGTGCTTAAGGATTGCGAGGACGCTTGAGTTCTTGGACCTGCCTAAACTCTTGGGCAGTGAGGCGCCGCAACTCTCATTGGACTGCCTGCAGGAGTCCAGAATTGGTTATGGCTCCCTGACAACGGCGCGTGCTTTTTTTCGTGGTGTTGCTTCCGTCTCTTTGGTAGATTTCTCGTCTCACCTTGTCGCAATAGACCGGCACACTGTGCTGCTCATGTGGTAAAGGGGCGTCCGCTTCAAAACAAAAGACAACTTAAGAGCCACAGTACGAAACTACCGTGCGCAAAGGCACAAGTCTAGTCTCACACTTGAGCCAAAATTGGCATTCAAACTTTTTGCAAAACGAAACATGCAAATATAATCTAGTCTATCGCACTGGCACAAAACTCAACAGCAACATGCTATGCTCAATCGTGCCGGGAAAACCGTTCCAAACTCGAGTTTTAGCGCCTCGACGCGCTTTTCGCGTGAAAGGGTCCTCGATCGGGTTGCGAAAACGACGAAAACTCGAGTTTTAGTACTCGAACGTTCGAAGTTTAATTTTTGTTTTGATCCTTTTCTATTTTTTTGATCCCGCTGCTTATTTTTTTTGATTTTTTGCTATTTCCCACTTTGCGATTTGCCGCCGTTCTAAGGGGAATTGCATCGTAAAAGTTGGCCATTACGGGCACTTGAGACTTTGTGCTCAAGTCCTGTTCTCAGAGAATTGCGTCATGAAGTTCATGAAGTCAGGCATCGTCCGTGTCGTGCAGGCTTTTGTGATGTGGGGAATTGCATCGTAAAGTTGGATATCGCCCGTGCAGTGGTCTCTGTGAGGTACACAGCGGATTCCGTGATGTGTTGCGTTCTAAGGGGAGTTGCGTTGTAAAGTCGTTCTGTGATGTATTGACGTGGGGGAACCGCATCGTGAAGTCTAACTTTCTGCGACTGGGTTCTATAGCGACAGCGACAGCAGTGCATCGTCTAAGCCAGAAAAATGGTTGTTGTGGAAGGCTCTTCGGCGGGTGAGTCAGGTAAGCGGCCAGCCGCAGGAGGCCACTGCAGACTTTAGAGGCCCCTGGAGGCCTTTAGAGGATGCGCAAGTTTGCCCGCTGGTTGCTCCTGATCACCATGCAGCAACCATGCCTGATCGCCATCTCTCAATTTTTGATGGGCGCCTCTTTACTACATCAGGAGCACAGTAGGCCGTTCTTGTGGGTCGACTAGAGAGGTGAATTGACTTCTCCTCCTGACCTCAAGCTCACCAACACAAACATGCTCAACCATGCCACTCATGCCAACCATGCCAACATCACAAGCACACGCACAACCATCAAGCAACTCAAGACTTTTGCCATTCACCATCGACAGGAAAGATCCTTTCCACTGCAACTCATGGTTTGGCAGAAAGTATCGTTGATGAAGAGATGCGACGAATAGCGTCACAGGCGCAGTCGTTGGCGTACGAGACGAGCTGGCCCTTGGCGTAGCGGATTCCTCGGAGGCGTAGGCAAACCCTTGGCGGTGTCGGCAGTCTCTCCAGATACCCCGGAAAGTCGCCTCCCTTTCTTGGACTCGGCTGCTTCGGCCTCTCTTTGATGATTTCGAAGATGGTGGTCATGGTGTAGGGGGCCTTCTTCTCCAGACACTGCAAGAAGTGCTTCTTAAGGTGCTTTTCCAGCTTCTCGTGGGCCCTTCTTCTCCTTGCGGAAACGATTCAAATCGGACTTTGCTGCTGCAGTCATCCCGACCCTCTTCAACTTATGCTTCTTTACCGCCCTGAGCTGGCACTCCACAAAGTGCAAGCAGCAGACGTGGTTTTGCAGTGAGACTTTTGGAGGCCCCTGGTCCCTGGAGTGCCCAACTCACTCTCGAGGGTCCCTGGAGTGTTAGAATACACTGTTCCCTCTAGAGCCCTGGCAGTATCCACTGCCTGATCTGACCAAAGCTGTCGTCACTGCTTTGGCTCAAGGTTCAAGTGCTGAAACAAGTGTGACTGATGAATTGCTCACTGCTGTGAATGTTGTGATACCTGAAAGTGTATCCCAAACTGCTCCATTGAACTTTTCATGGTAGCGGAGCACACTGGTGAGAACCAGGTGCCCGAAACTGTTTGAATGGCTTCACTAGGTTCTGCCCCTGAACTAAGAGGTCTCGGAGGTGAAGTGAAACTGTTTCCCCCACCGTCATTTGATGGGTCACTGGATAAGTATGAGGATTGGAGCTGGCAAATGAAGAAGTACATAGGACTGTACAAGCCCGAAGCAAAGCTGCTCATGGATGCATGCGAGGTTCTAACTGAAGCTGTCATAGACGAACATGTGATCGACTGGAATCGAAGAACCGATGCGAGTCGAGACATGAAACTGATCGAGTTCAGTCGTCAACTGCTTTATCTGTTGGCACAGTTAACCGAGGGAGCTGCGAGAGCGACTGTCAGACAAGAAGACACTGAGAATGGCTTCGAGGTATGGCGAAGACTGCATCAGCAGTTTTCACTGCCTAACCGGTCCCAAGGACTGAATCTCCTCACCGAGATTCTGGATTTCAAACTGAGGCCTGACAACTTCGAAAATGATCTGGCTGATTTCATTGTACTGAAGAATCGCCATGAGAAGGCGACTGTTGCCTTGGTTCAGGATGATTTACTGATCACGTTGTTCATTCGCAAGACGCAAGGAGCACTGCAACAGCATCTCAGACTGAATGTCTCGCAGATACACACATGGAAAGATTTACTGGCAACGATTCAGTCATACTACAAGAGTAGGCACTTAGTTTCAAGTACTGCAGGTACTGCAAGGAATGATGGTCCAGTGCCGATGGATATCGGAGCACTGAAAGGTTGGTACAAAGGAAACTGGAAAGGAAAAGGAAAGAAAGGAAACTGGAAAGGAAAAGGAAAGGGCAAAGGCAAAGGAAAGAAAGGTTTCGGAACTGCGAAAGGATGGAAAGGAAAAGGAAGTGACAAAGGAAACTGGAAAGGAAAAGGAAAAGGAAAGAGCAAAGGAAAAGGAAAAGGAAAAGGGAATGGAAACGGATGTTTTATTTGTGGCTCGCAGGGCCACTGGAGCAAAGAATGCCCTCAAGCGAAAAATGTAGGAGCTGTCACTGAAGAATGGAATGAAGAAGAATGGAACGAAGAAGAGTGGAACGCCGACTGGAATGAGTACGAATGGTATGTTGGCGCAATAGGTGAGTATGAAGACTGGAGCTCATGGGATGAAGGCTGGTATGATGACTGGTCTGAAGGATCCTACTGGCAAGACGAATGGCAAGGACACTGGCATGAGCCAGCGCAGAGTTCCACAGCTGCGACAACTGCAGCGTCGACGGTCACGGTGACTGAGGTCACTGATGCTAAGGAGCCTGCTGGCACAGCTGCCGCTGTGTTCACTGAGGAACCCACCGAAGTGGATTCTCCGCGAGTTTCGAGGACTGCTGGGAGTTCTCGCACTGCTAGACCTGGCATTGTTCGCAATTTGTTCATAGCCTCACTGTTCTTGATAGCGACAATGACCACTGGTCAACCTGTACTTCCGAATGAGTTACCCCGAAATGTTTCATCAGAAACTGCAGTTGAGCAGACAACAACACCTGTAGACAAGCTCACTGAGTTTCATCTGCAAGCTGGTGTAACTGACAGAAGCTGGATCTTGTTTGATTCTGGTGCTTCTGCTCACTGTTGTCCTGAGTGGTTTGCTGATGATTACCCACTGCTTCCCCTGAATGATGATGCTCCGGCACTGCGAAGTATATCGGGTAAAACCCTTGAAATACTGGGTCGAAGAATCGTTCAGCTCGACTGCAATGGTCATTCACTGTGCATCAATTTCTATGTGTGCAAGTCCATACCGTTCCCACTGGTTAGTGTGTCCAGATTACTGCTGCAAGGCTTCTGGACTGTCATGAGCAAAGATTTCATGGCATTGCTGACTGTGAATCAGGATCCTGTCCCGATAGTTCGGCAAGGTACACTGGTTTACCTCAATCCGACTGTGGTTCCATACCACTGTGCTGAGGATGCCAAGCGATGTGTGAAAGATCGAAACTGTTACAGGAGAGCTTGAGCGAAGATGACATGGACATGCCACTGTCTGGAGTGTGTGATGTGCAAGACTGCAGCATTGATCATGTCTCCAAGATTTATGAATTGTTGGCTACTGCAGTAGACTGTTGGGAGTTAGATGAGCGAAATTTGACATTGACGCGACATCATCACCGATGGCGCATGGGACTGTTCTCCCCAGAGCAGTGTCGTGATCTGCCTGTCCCACTGTCAAGATTCACTGGCGAAAGAGTAACCACCAAACTGTATGGAAGTGGAGTTTCGCCTGTCGAAGTGAGGGATGCTGATTTCCTCAAACTGGCAGACAAGACTGCGCAGGACACTGTCCGCTGGAAAGGTAAGTGTGTTTTCAAACTGCGTCACAAACCTGCGTTGCGGTATCAGGGCGAACAGAGCCCCCGACTGCCCGATGGCAAAACGAAGTTTTTTGGTGGTGGTAAAACTGACCGCATTCCTCCGCGTACTGGCGCGACAACCGCCCCCCCGCCCACTGTTTCCCGCTCTAGGCCTGTTTCGAGCCGAGGAGGCGAGACTGCGGAGGCTGATGCCTGCCTTTCGCGACTGCGAAGCCTAGTGTATCATGGGCCCGAAATGCAGGCTGAACTGGTTCGGCTCTTCAACAGTCCTGATCCTCTAACTGGTCAATCCAGAACGAGTGATTACTGGCTGAAGCTGCCAAGGTACTGGATTCGCATGTTACACACGCCTAGGAGCTGCGCCTTTCATCCTGAGGACTGCGCTACGGCCTTAGATGTGGAGAGAGTGTCAACTGACCAGCTGTGGGCTGATCGTTACACTTACTTCACGACGTCGACTGATGAGTCTCGTATCGACACTGGTTTTCAGGATTTGTGGTCTGACATGATTGAAGCTGATGGAAGTGTCACGAAGTGTGAAGAACCGAGAGCTGATCTGGGTCATACCTGGACTAGCTACTGTCTGTTCGTTCCACTGGAAAGAGCACCAAACCTTGAGGTTCAGGAAATGATTCGAGAGACTGCCTACAAGGCTAAACCTCTCAAAGTTCCTAAGGAACCCACTGAGGCAGAAAGACGTGTCCATGAACTGACACATCTGCCGTTCAGAGATTGGTGCCCACACTGCGTTCAGGCGAAAGGTCGTCACGGACCTTCACTGAAGCAAGTGGATCGACAGCCTGTGATCCAAGTGGATTACTGTTATGTCAGTACGCACAAGTCGCTTCCCTTGAGAACCGTGTTGACTGCCACAGACGTGCAAACTGGCTTTGGCATGGCTGTTGTTGTACCTGACAAGCAAACTGCCAAGAAAGGTGGTGCGTACGCAATGGCTGAGCTGAAGAAGTTTGTGTTTGAAACTGGCAGGACATTTGGTATCCTTCAGTACGACAAGGAAAATCCACTGAAGGACCTAGTTCTGTCGACTGTTAAAGAGCTTGGTGGCATGAGCACACGCGCTGCGCCCACTGCTCACAAGCAGGCGATGGGCAGCGTAGGCCAGATGCAGAGGACGCTGTACGCACAGCTGAGAACTGTCCTTCTGCAGCTTCAAGAAAGCACTGGCGTTGAAGTGACATCTGATCATGCACTGTTCCCGTGGGCAGTGAAGCATGCTCAGTTTCTGCTGAACCGCTATCTTGAACATGCGGATGGCCACACAAGCTACTGGCGTCGTTGGCAGAGAGACTACAATTCAGGACTGTGTTGCTTTGGCGAAGTTGTGCAAGCAAAGTTGACTGGACCGCACGCTGCGCGCAAAGCATTCCCGTCCTGGGTAACTGGCATGTGGCTTGGTCGAGATACTGAAGCAGACGAAGTGATCATCGGAACTGAACATGGAGTCACCAAAGTGAGGACTGTCCGTCGACTGCAACCCTCACTGCAATGGCAAAAGGAGATTGTTCAAATGTTCCGCGCACTGCCTTGGGATCCAAAAGGTGAAGGCAAAGATGCGATCACTGAGTTTGTTTTGCCGCAAAATCTCACAGCCACTGGCAGAGTGAAAGAACCGCCTGGACTGGCTAGAGAGCCAATGGATGATGTGTTGGAAACACAGCCGCAAACTGCGTCTGAAGAACGTGTAGCTGAAGTCGAACCCTTGAGTTCGCCCACTGGTTCCAAGAGATCAGCTGAAGAAGGAGGCGCTGAGCCTAAGTCAAAACTGGCGCGCCCTGATCCTGAAGCTGATGCTGAGCCACTGGGCAAAGCGCAAAGAATTGCCGCTATAACTGAAGCCTATCAGCATGACTGGTCCTGGGTTGCTTCCGCGACAAGTGCAACTGAGGTTCGCAACAAAGATGGGTCGTCTGTTTCCGTCGAAGTGAACTGTGATGAAGAAGAAGCTGTTGCCGAGGCGAAACTGGCAAACCCCATCATTTGGGATGCCACTGAAGAGTTTCCTGAAGAAGCACAGGCAACTGGCATGAATAAGGAAATGGGATCCATGAAGGACTTCGAAGTGTATACAGAAGTGCCCGTAGAGAACTGCTCAAGTGAGCAAGTGAAGGGTGCCATTGGCGTGAAATGGGTCAAGCGCTGGAAGTCTGACATAGAACTGCGAATGCGTCTCGTAGTTCAAGGCTGCTCGCGAGCACACCGTCGTTGGTGACACTGCGTGTGTTGCTGATTTTGGCCCTTGCTCGAAACTGGACGATCACGCTTGCTGATGTGTCAACTGCGTTTTTACACGCAGCAATGACTGACGAAGTGTTCGTCTGGCCGCCAGCTGAGTACTACCCTGACAGGAAAGTACGCTGGCGACTGAATAAAGCAATGTACGGGCTGCGTCAAGCGCCTAAACTGTGGCAAGACCATTTTGCCGCTACGATGCAGAAACTGAAGTTCAAGCGCTGCAAGTCCGATGGCAATCTTTACTGTCATGAAAGTGGTTCACTGTTTGTCTTGGCATATGTTGACGATCTACTGATCATTGGAGATGACAAGCTCAAACGGCAGTTTCTTGAAGAACTGCAGAAAGAGCTGATCGTGAAGATCACTGGTGAGTTGGTCGAAGGGACTGAGCACACGTTTCTTGGTCGCCGCTTGCGTCGCTGCGGTGATAGCATTGATGTGTGCATGTCTCCGTCGTATGTTGACAAACTACTTGAAATGTACAACCTGTCGAAGTGCAATCCTGTTGCCACGACTGGGTCGTCATCCTTGAGACAGTTGATGCCTGAGCCACTGGATAAAGAAGGCCATGAGAAGTATCGCACTGCGGTTGGCAAACTGCTATGGTATGCGTTTGTAAGGCCTGATGTTGCATACGCGGTGAAGGAACTGTCACGCGACGTGACTGCTCCCACCACTGAGTCGGTTGGAAAGTTGAAACACCTGTTGAGGTACTTGTCTGGTACCAAACTGTCGGTGTTGAAGCTGAGACCGACGCACCAGCTGTCTGGAGCCACTGTCCCTGTGGATGTAAATGCGTATGTTGACAGTGACTGGGCTGGATGCAACAAGACACGCAAGTCGACTTCTGGTTCGACTGTGAATGTCCTTGGTTGTAATGTTCAAAGCACTGCACGCACGCAATCAACAATCGCACTGTCAAGTGGTGAAGCTGAATTGTGTGCAATTGGTCAAGGCACGAGCGAGGCACTGTTCGTTCGCGCGCTGTTGCTGGAGAGTGGACTGACTCTAACAAACTTTTCGGTTAGGCATGTGCCCCCCTGTAGAAGTATTTTTCCTTGTCGTTTCACTGCTGCCAACAAGGCTCAAGGGACTGCTGAACAGACCGTGTCCCAGCAAAAGTGCCCGCTAGTGGTTTCAAGTTCAAGGGTCTGGAACGAACCCTAAATCGTTTTATGGTAGCGGAGCTGAAGGCCTAGACCTTTGGTTCAAAGTGAGCCCAAGAAAGCGCTCTGGAGGAGCGAGGACTGAAGTCCAAAAGAGCCTTGGGCCAGCTACCAAGCGAGCTCCTTAAGGGAGACTGTAAACGAGGCTGAGAGGAGCCTGGAAGTGAGAAAGAGAAGAAAAGTGTGATGCAAGAAGGAGATCCTGCTGGAGCAGGAGCTCAAGAGCATGGAGGAGACACTCCAAGCGATACTCCAATGGCTAGGCCAGCTGGAGGAGGATTGCCCTCAGGTCTCGGGGGAGCATCGTTTCAAGAAGTGATGGGAAGTTTGGCCGCAGCAGCCAATGCTTTGGCTGGAGCTGCAGGATCTGCAGGATCAGGCCAGAGGAGTTATGACTCAGCAGCAAAGCTGGTAAAGAGTCCAGAAGTGTTTGCTCCAAAGAATTTAGAGGAAGAAGTTTCACAATGGCCAGACTGGAGTTTTAGCTTCAGGGTGTTTGTAGGATTTGTAGATCCTAAGTATGCCGAAGAGTTGGTTAGGGTAGAGTCAGGACCGTTGAATCCGGCTCTGTATTCGCAAGAAGAGAAAGAGAGGAGCATCAAGCTCTATGCGATTTTGGCTTCATATCTGAGGAATCGTCCTCTGAAGTTGTTGAAGTCCGAAGGAAGTCAGGATGGCTACAGTGTGTGGAAGAAGTTGTTTCAGGAGTTGGAGCCGTCGAGCAGAACAAGAGGACTGGCAATGGCTCAGGCCCTCGTTAGTTTCCCAGCGATGACCAAGGGAACTTCCATCCTGGACTACCTGCTCACCTACGAGAAGCTGGTGGGTGAATACGAGAAAGTTTCAGGAGCGAGGTATGATGAGAACCTCAAGATCGGCACGGTGCTGAAAGGATTGCCGAATGAGTTGAGAAAGCATATTCTGGTTGGACTTAGTCCTACTACGAGTTACACGGACATCCGAAGGAAGTTGCTCGAGTACGAGAGGAGCACGCAGTCTTGGAATGCAGAGAACATCTTGCAGTCCTTCAGCATGGAAGGACCAACAAAGCATACGCCGTACAACGGACCTCAAGCGATGGAAGTGGATCGAGTGAAAGGAGGTTACAAAGGAGACAAAGGGAAGTATGGAAAGGAAAGGAACAAAGGAAAAGGTAAAGGAGAGAAAGGAGGAAAGCCCTTTGGAAAAGGAAGATTTACCAACAAAGGAAAAGGAAAAGGAAAATGGGATACTGGCAAAGAGTCCAAAGGAAAAGGAAAAGACAGAAACAAGGGAGTTCGCGCGGTGGAAGGTGGCTACGGGCCAACGAAGTTTCAAGGAAGTTGCTACATCTGTGGCAAGCCAGGACATCGAGCCACGGATTGTTGGCAGAAAGGAGATAAAGGTAAAGGAGGAAAAGGAAAGGTGAGATACGTGGAAGAAGAAGAGACTCAAGGTCAAGGTGACCGAAGCTCTGGGAGCAATGCGAGAGCGAACAACGACGAGAGTGGACAAGTGAGAGTCATCACCGCCTCTGCTGCGAGAATGGTTCGAAGAGTTGAAGAGGTGGAAGACCAGGATGAGGAGCTTGACTTGAATGAAGTGAGCTGGAGAATGAATGAGTTGGAAGTGAGAAGACTCGAAGAGTTCGATCTCACCCTGGGAGATGAAGAGAGCGATGAAGGTGAGATAGACCCTCACGATGAGTTGATGGAGTGGTACGATTCGAAGCAAACAGGCGAAGAAGTTGGCGAAGTGAGAACGCTACAAGATGAGAAGACTGTGAAGAACGTTTGCAAAGAGGTTGAGTCGTGCGAAGTTGTGCTTGACAGCGGTGCGGACTGTCATGTGTTGCCTATGGATTGGGCAGAAGAGGTCGGAGAACCTTCGACTTTCGAGTACCGACTGAAAGATGCACAGGGAAGAGTTATTCCAACACTGCCTGTGAGGCAGCAAGTGAAGTTCGTTTTCTGGAAAGAGTCAGGAAAGAAGTTGGTTATCACAGACACTGCAGTTTGTGGCAACGTTACCCAACCACTGTTCTCGATTGGGAAGATGTGGAAGCTTGGTTGGGGAACTGTAAGCGAAGATGGAAAGTTGTGGCTGAAGAAAGGAACTGTTCGAGTTCCATTGCACTTCAAGAGAAATTCTTCAATGGCGATAATGAGTATCAGTCGTGTTGTGACTGAGGAGATGAAAGTGCAACCTGTAAGGCTGGAAGAGAATCTTAAGAGAGAGCTCCAGCACAATGAGATTGGGGATTCCTGGTTCGTGCTGGAAGATGGAACTCCGGCGCGGTTTGACTGGGATGTGACAAGAACATTCGACCCCACCGGTCATTTCCCGAACCACATGTATGAAGGAGAAGGAAGCGAAGGTGACTATTTCCCGTATCGAACAACCCTCTTGGGGAAGCTTGAAAGAAGAGGAGGCGCAGTTTCTCCACTGAACGAGGTAGACTGGAATTCTCTGGAGTTCTTTGAGTGCTCGGAGGAGTGGAAGGATAGAGAGAACGTATCTCTTGGAAGAGCCCCAAACGAGAGGTTTGAAGTGATGATCACCTTGCTGGAGAAAGAGATCAAAGAGCCCAATGCTTATGGAAGCTTTGAAGGACTGAAAGAGAGAGAAAAAGATTTTGGAGGAGAAAATCAGCCCATGGAAACAGGAGAGCCAACCGAAGCGGTGGTTCCGAGACAAGAGGAAAAGAAAGAGCATCGAAGCAAAGGCATTCCGGTACTCCCGGAAGACGAGACAGAAGTGATGCTTATTGGACCTCTGAGGATCACCCCGACAAGCGAACTGAAGGAGATGAAGGAAGCTTGCAAGTACTTGTATTTGTCAAAGAACGGCTCGAAAGGAGTCCTGTGGCAGAGACTAAAGAAAGAGGTGGCAACGAACAAGCTGAAGGCGACAGTGCAAATCTCAGAGGACATCAGAAAAGAGTTTGAAAGAGATCCTATCCCAGAAGCACTACCTGCGCTCCCGAGCCAGGAAGAGATCGAGAAGCATGAGTTGACGCACCTGCCTCGGGCATCATGGTGTGAAGCCTGTCAGGCAGCAAAGAGTCGGGAGGACAACTTTGACGAAAGTACGGAGAAGCCTCAGCGACCAGTGTTTAGTTTGGACTTTATGTTCACAGGAACCCAAGGAGAAGAAGGAGAAAAAGATCCATTAGCAATTCAGCTGGTGGGAGTTGATTCTGAAACGAAGTTTCTTTTGGCCGTCGCAGTGCCAACAAAAGGAGGAGATGCCGTTATCAACCACGCAGTGGCGGAAGTCACACGAGTTCTTGCACTGTTGGGATACAGTGACGTCGTGCTGAGAACAGACACAGAGCCTGCAATGCTTGCCATTCGGAAAGGAGTTCAAGCCGTGCGAGCAAGACATGACTTGAAGACGGAGCTACAAGACAGCGCTCCAGGCGAGCACCAAGGACTGACCGTTGAGCGGTA